TCCATCCATTAAAAATATGTTAATGGATGGATTTTATTCTTAATGGATGGATTGGATTGGATAATTTTAAGAAAATTTTAGTGGATTGTTAATAGACTAATGGGTTGTTTTAATCCATCCATTAACAATACAATTCATCCATTTTGCCACCCCTACCATTTATACGATAAATAATATTTTTATAATAAAAAAAAATATTTTAAAAAAATACTTTTTGTTTAAAAGAATTATTTACTTTTAACATAAATAATATAAAGTTGTATAATTAACCTATTTTACAATAGTATTAATTATAAAAATGTATATTATTAGTCAATTATTTTGTTTATAATTCATCAATCAATTTTAATAGTTCATTAACCAATAAAATACATATCATTATTTCGCCACTAAATTACAAATGTGTTAACCAACTTTTGTACTTCATTAACCACTTTATTTTATTATTTAATTTTTTTTTTATGTTTGAGAACTCATTAACTAAGAATGACAATTATACTCATCCTCGGTAGGTACACACAAAAAATAGCAATTACTAATAAAATAAACGGGTATGGGTGCAGGTGCGGGTACGGATACCTAAGTACCCAACCCGCCCCATACCCGCAATATATATATATATATATATATATATATATATATATATATATATATATATATATATATATATATATATATATATATATATATATATATATATATATATATATATATATATATATATATATATATATATTTATTTATTTATTTATTTTTATTTTCATTATTACGTACTCATGTTAATCTAAATTTTTTCTTATATAAATTACTTTTAAATTCTATACATTTTAATATAAATGTTTGTTTATTTCTTATCTCAACAGTAACATCTTCAATTTTTTTAAATATTGTTAAAAAATTAAAATGACATGATAAATTATAATTAATCGATCATTTTTTATTAGAAATATGGGTAAACGAGTATGGGTATGTATACTTAGATATCCATAGGATATGGGTGCAAACATTGGTATCCACGCGGATATGAGATCGAGTACGGAAAATTTTTTTAACTGTGGATTTGGGTGCAAACCCTACCCATTGTCATCCCTAGTATTAACCAACGTTATACATAATCTTAATCAATGTTTGACTAATGTCTCAAATTTTTTTCCAATATACTCTACCATAAAGGGGGGCATGATCTCATTCAAATCATTCATTTTTAAATTTTAACTTTCTTCATCTTCATTCTCTTCTTTTAATTCAAATTTTAAATCTTCTTCACATTTCTTTTTTTCACACTTTCTCACTTTTATTTTTAACTTTTTAACATCTTTTTTCTTTTTTTTCTTTTTTTCTAAATATCAATTGTCTTACTATTAAAATTAACTAACACCAAACCACTTAAATTGGTCTTTGCTTTACATTAATTTACACTAATAAAAAATTAAAAAAAGTAAATAACTATTGTCTCAATTTTTAAAAACCACTTTCATTTTTAATTTTTTAACATTTTTTCTTTCTTTCTAAATATCAACTGTCTTACTATTAAAATTAACTAACACTAAACCACTTAAATTGCTCTTTGCTTTACATTAATTTACACTAATAAAAGATTTTAAAAAATAAATAACTATTGTCTCAATTTTTTTTTCAACAGACACATGACCTCATTCTAATCATTATAATTACAGTATATGATTATTATATTAAATATTTATTGGTGTATAAATGTGTACAATATTGATATTTAATTTTGTTTTTACGACAAATTTAATCAATCTATTTTTTTATTAGTGTTACAAATATTAATTAATCTATTTTTAAATTTTAATAAAATTTAGAATTTATTTTATAAAATTAGATAATATTGACAAACAACTAACTTTTTAACTCAAAGATCACTATTGAAAAAATATTTATTTTATTTTAATTATTTGAGATAAAAAATTCTTATTTTCAAATGTTAAAATTTCTCTTTTTCTCACGAGCCACTTTCGGCAAAATACATATTTTATTTTAATTAACAATTATCTTTATTTGAAGCATAAAATTGTTATTTTTAAATGTCATAATTTATATTTTTCTGATGGGTCATTATCATCAAAATACCTATTTTATTTTAATTAACAATTGTCTTTATTTAAGACACAATTTTTATTTTCAAATGTCAAAATTGAGTTTATATTATTATTATTATTATTATTATTATTATTATTATTATTATTATTATTATTATTATTATTAGTATTATTTATTTTATAATTAAATAACTTATTTCAAATTTACATATATATCTAAATAAAATCTATATCGTATTAAATAAATTTACTCGTACGGACGCAAAAATATTTTTGCTAGTTAACTAATAAAATACATATTATTAACCATATTCCGCCACTAAATTATAAATGTATTAACCAATTTTTGTAATTTATTAATCAATTTTATTTTACTATTTCATTTTTTTTTTATGTATATACATTCTGTTATGTTTACATTCTGATCTTCTAACTATAACATTTTGCTCTTATAGACTTTAAGAGAGGGAGAGAGAGAATGTGTACATTCTAGTCTAACCCAAAGTCTGTAGAGTCTGCCACCAATTCTCAATCTGTTTATAAGGACAAGATCGAGCTATGGCGATTAATGAGCCTTAACGATTCAATTAATGAGCCTCGGGCCATTCGATTAATGAGCCTTAACAATTCGAGGAAGGTTTACCTCATACCCCTACACTTATACCTATACCCCTACATTAAAAAATTTTGGACCAAAATATCCTCGTATAAAAATTTATTATTTTTTAATTTTTTTTATATTTTTTTATTTGTTTACCGGAAAACTTTTTGGAAGTCTTCCGGTTCACATTTTTTTAGTATGTTTACCGGAAGACTTTTTGGAAGTCTTCCGGTACATATTTTTTTCGTTTGTTTACCGGAAGACTTTTTGGAAGTCTTCCGGTTCATATTTTTTTCGTTTGTTTACCGGAAGACTTTTTGGAAGTCTTCCGGTTCATATTTTTTTTTAATTTGTAATTAATATTTAAGATTTATTAATTTTATATAAAGACCAATTTAGTAAATTTTTGAATATTATACTTAAAATATAAAAATACTATAAATAGAGAATCATTTTCAGAATATTTTCTATTTACTATAATTATTAGAATACTAGGATCATAATAGTAGAATTTTCTCAAATATCTTATTAATCTTAAACATTAATAAATAAAATAAATTTAAATATAAGATATAAGTTTACATTATTCAATATATTTAATTAAATGAAAATATATGTGATAAATAAATAATGTATTTTAACTTAAAATAATCACAATAAGTTAACTTGCAAAATAATATAAGTAATAAATTAATAATGTATTTTATTTAAAATAATCACAATAATAAAATACGCAAATAATGTGTTTTATTTATAGGGCTGATATAGTTTTATTGATTATTTAATTTTGAATACTACTATGAATATAGTATTTAATCTATACTTTAGAACTCACATAATTATAAATATAAAAAATATTGTTTTATTACCCATATTTTTATTTAATTAAAAAAAATAAGAATATAAATTTATTATTTGTTTTTCATTTTTGTTTGATCTTTTTAATTATTTCACTTTATTTAATATTTTTAATAAAATAAATAATATATTTTATTTAAAGTAAGCACAGTATAGAATATGCAAAAAATTTATAAATAAAAAAAAGATCAAACGAAAATGAAAAACAAATAATAAATTTATATTCTTATTTTTTTTAATTAAATAAAAATATGGGTAATAAAACAATATTTTTTATATTTATAATTATGTGAGTTCTAAAGTATAGATTAAATACTATATTCATAGTAGTATTTAAAATTAAATAATCAATAAAACTATATCAGTCCTATAAATAAAACACATTATTTGCGTATTCTATTATTGTGATTATTTTAAATAAAATACATTATTAATTTATTACTTATATTATTTTGCAAGTTAACTTATTGTGATCATTTTAAGTTAAAATACATTATTTATTTATCACATATGTTTTCATTTGATTAAATATATTGAATAATGTAAACTTATATCCTATATTTAAATTTATTTTATTTATTAATGTTTAAGATTAATAAGATATTTGAGAAAATTTTACTATTATGATCATTTAAAATAAATGATTTTAATCTCATTGTATTCTAATAATTATAGCAAATAGAAAATATTCTGAAAATAATTCTTTATTTATAGAATTTTTATATTTTAAGTATAATATTCAAAAATTCACTAAATTGGTCTTTATATAGAGTTAATAAATCTTAAATATTAATTACAAATTAAAAAAAAATATGAACCGGAAGACTTCCAAAAAGTCTTCCGGTAAACAAACGAAAAAATATGAACCGGAAGACTTCCAAAAAGTCTTCCGGTAAACATACTAAAAAAAATGTGAACCGGAAGACTTCCAAAAAGTCTTCCGGTAAACAAATAAAAAAATATAAAAAAATTAAAAAATAATAAATTTTTATACGAGGATATTTTGGTCCAAAATTTTTTAATGTAGGGGTATAGGTACAAGTGTAGGGGTATGAGGTAAAACTTCCACAATTCGACCGACCCATTATTGGGCCATCATCGTTATATATATTGTTTATTTCTCCTACCTTTCTATTCTTGATAAGGAAGTCAATTGAAGGGAAATAAAAAATGTATAGCATTTTCACACTAACAAAGTAGTAAAAACTACTCCAAAGAAATTTTCCTGTTTTGATCAGTTTCAAACGAACATTAGTCACGCATGTTTTATTTGATTTCCCGAGAGTAAAAGCTCAGAAACTAATCAAACATGCAGGTGCTCAACATTAAGTTGACACAATAAATCTAATCGCAATATGCAAGAATCAGATGCAAATAAATTATCATTTCTCTTGAACATTGAACTATATTCTGAACCCTTTGACTATATTCTGAACCGTGCACATACATACACAAACAAATCACAAAATCCCTCGTCATCACTTGTAAAATTCAAAGTCGGTATCAGGTTTCTTCACGTTGGTCCTATAACCCTTCTCGAAGTCCTTTGGCAGTATGACATATCTATTCTTACGAACAGCATGCATTCCCGCTTCTTGGCAAATAGCAGATATCTGCAGAAACAATTATCCAATATTTAATGCAGGCATCTTTCTAAAAAGTTTGGTTATTGTCTTTCTTCTCACAGCAACGTTTTAAGCAATAAAGTTGCAACTTTAATTTATGCGCATAAAGTTTAGTCCAAGCAATCTAATATTTCCTTATTATATAGGATTAAGGATATTTTCAATCTGTATGTAACTTTAGTAGATATTCACAAACCTCGGCAGCACTAATTTTGTCAGGACGGGAAACATAATCCTCCAGGTCCACCTCATCACTCAGATTCATTTTTGCTGTGCAAACCTGTTACAAGTGAACCATCAAATAATAATAGGCTAGAAAGCAGCTGAACATAAAGACAACTATTAATTAGTTCAAAATAAATCTAGTGAAAGTTTGCAAAAAAACTGATATTTCTAAATCAGGAAATATAAAATGACCTATTATTGACAATAAATATGGAATAGCAGAGAATTATAACATAAAGAAATGCGAAAAACATACCTGAAATACAAGCCTCTTTTGGCGTCTATCGGGCAAGGGGAACTCGATTTTCCGATCAAGTCTTCCAGGACGCAAGAGGGCGGGATCCAAAGTGTCTGCTCGATTGGTTGCCATTATGACTTTGACATTCACTGTCTGGTCAAAACCATCCATCTGAAGAAAAAACGGAGGTTAAACCAGAACATCAGAGAATATTTGAAACATGAGAAGTAGTGTGGTCAAATCAAAGAGTCCGACATCAAGAGATAAGGAAATTAAATCAACGTTAATCTATAGAACCCAATACATAGTAGTGCACGGCACATTCACAGCACCTGAGAGAATCATAGGGATACCTGATTCAAAAGTTCCATGAGGATACGTTGTACTTCTCTATCAGCTCCAGTTTGGGCATCAAACCTAGCAGTAGCTATTGCATCAACCTCATCAATAAATATAATTGCAGGGGCATTTTCTTTTGCGAGACGAAATACATCACGAACCATTCTTGGACCCTGAAATATAACTAGCAGAGAATATTAAAAGATGCAGCAGTAAACTTTTGATACAACATTTTATTCTCCTTTTATTAAGGCAGTGAGTTTTGAAACTCCCTGGAAGCTTAATGAAGAGCAGTAGATAAAATCTTGGACAGGAGCAATCATAATAATGAAATTGGTTGAAAAAACCAAGAGTGATTAGATGATTGTAATTTCCCTTTTTAGGGATGTAGACAATCATACAACTACCTCTGATTATGATAATGTGGCAGAAACTCAAAGAAACTCAAGAATTTTGAGACCATATTCTGATATTCTTCTTATAAAGGTTTCATACCTTATGTACACTGCTATTCATAGAGAAGCTAACAGCACGCTCAAGTCAACTATATTTTTGTTAGAACCATATCTTAAAATGGAACGACTCAACTAACTAACCCTCTAAAACAGCTAAGAACAGCTGTAAGTAACTCATGACCCACAAGTGAAAGATGCACACTCCTAAAAGGGGGTAACACTATATTGCAGAGAACAAAGACCATCTAATACTGGTTCAGTTTTATCTATTCTATAAGAGAGAACTTTGTATTCTAATTTCTTTCAGGTTGCTATGTACTAGGCACAAAAAAACAGTTGTTCTGCCACCATATGATGACTGATGCTAATACTGGATCATCTCCTTCCTCTAACTGATTTAACATCAATTCAGGTCATTTTGACTTGATTAAATGAGATAAATTTTCTTCAGTGATCAGAGTCTACATGTATGTACATCTGCCACAGATAAAAGAAGGAACCAGATAGTAAAGACCAATGGCATGTGGTGTGGGATGCTGAGAAGTCCCCAGCCTGATAATGAAATTGCTGGTGGATTCCATGGATGACGACATCGGCTTGAAATATATGTGCTACCAACCAGCCAAGGACTCTGGTCTAACGTGAACCAGATGTACTAAGATCTGGGCTAAAAGTCCCAAGTTTATGAGTAAATCATTGGTTATGAATGGTACTCATATTGAAAGAAGAAAGAATCTTCAAATTAATTTCTAAACTCCACATATACTATATGAAGCGCAAAGGATCATTGGCAGGAAACTTCTCCCGTCACTTGGTCTTCCCTACCTGTTCATATGTTATTCTACGTGTTCTTGTAATAAAAGATTAGAGTTGTAGATGGAAGATTTTCCTATTGCAGGGAAAGTCTAAAATCTTCTAACATATTCCAATCTTTTATATCTAAATATCCAATGTGTCACCCAAGTTCGTATGTTATTCTACGTGTTCTTGTGTTGTAATAAAAGGTTAGAGTTGTAGATGGAAGATTTTCACCTATTGCAGGGAAAGTCTAAGATCTTTTAACATACTCTAATCTTTTTTATCTAAATATCCAATGAGTCGCCCAAGTTCATATGTTATTCTATGTGTTCTTGTATCATAATAAAAGATTAGAGTTGTATATAGAAGATTTTCACCTATTGCAGGGAAAGTATAAGATCTTTTAACACACTCCAATCTTTTTTTTATCTAAATATCCTATGAGTAGCCCAAGTACAAGACCAATCAGACTCTACAAGTACTGCATTTACATGTTTTATGAAAGAAAGACCTTCCCAATTCTGATTCTGATAGTCATATTCCTATAGGTATTAGGAGAAGAGATAGGGCATGTACTCTTCACCCATTTCAAAACATGTTCTACAAAAATCTATCATCTATTCAATATTATGTTGTAGACCAACATATGTAATTGTAACTATTTCACATGCAGTAATCAATTTCTTTTCATATATTTATCTAGTTCAAACACAATATCACCTAATATGTTTACAAGTATTGAGATGACATCATTTATTCCCCTATGCATTGCACGGTGTTAATCACTAGTATCTATTCAGTTTGTCCTGAGAAACATCACAGAAGCGCTAGGCAATCTCAATTGAAAAATGGAAATGATGGGGAATCAAAAGCTTTACAAAAGAACAAGACTTTATTTATTGACAAGTAAAAGAACAAGATTTGAAAATACACATAGTTGACTTTCCATTCCATGCAAAAAGGAGATAGTAGGTAACAAAATGGTTGTTTCTTATCAAATGCAGAGCTAATGATAGAGACATTTGGCCAAACAGAAAAATGACATCTTCAAACTAGATTGAGAAGTTTTGAGAGAGTCGAGATATTTCAAATTTACAATCCTAGAAAATAAAGTTTTGTTAACATAAATGTTGATAAAAGAAAGAGGTGACAAGTACATTTTCCTATTTTTAGAAATGTAGAAAATCAGACAACTTTCTTCAATTTAATTCTTATCTCTTCTACAAGACAACTATATATTATAATTTTCTTTAATATAAATTTTCTTTCATGTAATCCTAATAAATATTTATCAATAATAAACCTTTTTGGAGAAAAATACATACAAAAAGCACAGTAATATTGAAAATTAAGAATCTGAAACACATAAACTTCAAAAGCAAACAGAGACAGCTAAGTGCAAAATTGTCATCATCACTTCAACTGCAAATGACAAATTCATACCTCACCAAGATACTTCTGCACAAACTCAGAGCCCACAACCCTGATAAAGGCGGCAGTGGTATGATTAGCAACAGCTTTGGCAAGCATTGTTTTACCAGTTCCAGGGGGGCCATATAGTAAAACACCTCGAGGAGGATCAATACCAATTTGCTTGTATAAATCGTGATGTGTGAGAGGTAACTCCACAGCCTCGCGAATTTCCTGCTTTTGGATATCACATCCTCCAATATCCTAAAAAAGATCAAAACCATAAAAAAGGAGAATCGTCCCACATAAAAATATAGCTTAAGATGACAACAATACATACTAAGAAGAAAGTGGATTGTCGGACAGAGACAGACCATTATAACTTCTTTGTAAACTCTCATCTTACTCATTTGACGCCATCTCATTGCTCCTAAGGTCTAAGTTCCCACTATACATAATGATGACCTATATTTTCAGTTTAATGTAATTTCCCTACAACCCCCTAGAATCAATAATCTGGCATACAATTTGAACTATATAAATATTTGTTACCTCAGGCACCAGAATCCAGGATTACAAGCTACATAAACACTTTTCAACATGCACGGTTAAGACTGAGTATCTCTAACATATACATAAATATTCAGTGTGTATTTGTATGTCCAATCTTTTTTAAAAAAGAAACAAAGACACTTCAGTGAATGTAATGATAGTTTAATTTTCCGAGTAAGCCCAAAGCCCCAAACAGTTGGAAAAATAATTTTAGCAGCAACCAAATCAACACCAACCAAGCCGTATCCCACTAAGTGGGGTCAGCTACACAGGTCAACTTTCACCATAATGTTTTACCTAGGACACTGCTTCTATCCAAAACGTTAATCTCAAGATCTTTCTTAATAACTTCTCTTATAGTTTTTCAAGGTCTTTCTCTAGAGTAGAGAAAGACCTAATAAGGAAAATTTAATTTTCTAGGTCTTTCTCCTATAGTCTTTCAAGATTGAAAATTTAATTCTGGCAGAAACTAAACCTAATAAGGAAGCAATTTCATTTGCAATTGAAGTAGTTTATACAAGGAAAACCCTAGATTATGTAATTCTATAAAAAAAATAAGCATAATCTAAAATCAATTGAGAAATGGTTAACAAACTAACATTGTAAGAGACATCAGGCTTCTCAGACTGGCTAAGGAGCGAGATACTAGAATCAGCCTCCGGCGGAAGAACATCAACAAGTGCATTGGAATGTCGGTGAAGAGCAACCGAAGCAGAAGGCTTGAGAAGCTCACGGTTGATAGTACTGAGAATCCTCACATAGTAGTTGGATCCAGTAGTTGATCCAACAATACCGTTGTTCTGATCAACCATCTCCATGAACTGACCGATAACGAGTGGAACAGATTGAATCCTCTTAACTTCTTCCTGAGCCCTAAGAAGCTCGCGCTTTAGATTCTTCTGTTCATCTTTTACATACTCCTCTTGGATGTCGATGAACTCTAGTTGCCGCTGCAGAGATTTGAGGCGGCTGTAGAGGTCATCTTCATCGGAGGCTGAGTCGCCGCCGTAAATGTAATCGGATTTTGATGATAGAAGGGAAGGTGGCGGTTCTGAGACGGGTTTTGGGTCTAAAACCATCGGGGAGGATCCCATTGTTGTAGATGAAGTGAAGAGAAAGACAGAGAATTTGGGGAATGGGGTTTGGGCGTTAAGCCTGCGAAATTATACGAATTTACGAATTTGGGGAATAAGATTCTGAAAAGGCAGGGAACATTATGAATTTACGAATAATTTGGAATTAATTTAAAGATCCTGTTAACTTGTGCAAGGATTGAAAAATTCAAAAAAAAAAATAATTAATTATTTTATTTTAAAAATAATCTTGTTATAAAAAATTAAAAAGTTCTAAAATTATATGAATAATATGTCTTACTATTATTTTGGAATATTTATCTAAAATGTCAATAATTTAAAATAGTAATGTGAATTATTTTTCATAATATCAATGTAGAATTTTAATGTTCTATTTAAAATAATAATATAAATTATTATATTTATGTAATAACTGTGATTCTAATAATATAAATTTTCATTCGGTTCATATAAAAGAAATACTTTTTTTCCATAAATATGACTTAAATCATTTTACTTTCCTCTCTTTTTATTTATTTTATTTGATATATCTTAAAATCATATATTTTGTACTATTGTATAATTAGAAAATAACTTTTATTATCATCTTAGTTCACAAATATCATAAAAAAAATATTTAAATATCCAATTTTTTCAATACATTATCAACATGATCGTTTTTATCGAAAATACTTACTAATATTATTAGGTATATCACCAATTCTTATCACTTTAATAATATTATTATTATTATTATTACTAGCGTCCAAACGGGCACGTCCGTGCCCGTTTGTCCGCTTTTTTTATTGCGCTAACGCGCAAAAATATGAACAGTATATTTTTTTTTAAATTTAATTTTATTATAAATTATTTATATTGATTTTAATATAACTTATTTATATGATGAAACATTAAGTTTTGTATTTATATATTGTTATAGATTAGTCAAAACCATAAGAAGATTTAAATAGAAGAAAAACAAAAATCTTTCTCACAATTTATTAAGCAATTAAACATAAACATTAATACGGATATTAAGTTACATTATTGATTAATAGGAAGGTCAACTATATAATCAAAATCAGAAATATCTCTCGTTTCACTGCAAAACAAATGAAGTAATTCATTAATATATTTTTTATTTAATTTTGGTTTTAATTTAAATTATTTATCATATATATATATATATATATATATATATATATATATATATATATATATATATATATATATATATATATATATATATATATATATATATATATATATATATATATATATATATATATATATATATATATATATATATATATATATATATATATATATATATATATATATATATATATATATATATATATATTATTAATTTAATTTTTTATTAAGTATATGGTCAATGAAATGCTTCCAAAGATTGTTGCAACAAAATTCTTTCATTTATTGAAGCAATACTTTAAGAAATGTTTTAACATTTGATTCTCATTTCCCTGCATTATCTTGGAGGTGTGTGTAATCTTTAATATTTATTGTTCGTTTTCTATTATATTATTAGTATTGTATTAAATACAGATGAACCAATTCATAAATAAACAATTCATATATTTTTTATCTTTAAGACCAATGGATTTAAAAAGAAAAACACTTAAAAATAATGTTTCATTGTTTTTAATAATATTCTCTAACCAAATCAATATAATTTGATATTTAGTTGCAACAACCAAATACAAAATCAACAAAATAGATTCTAAAATAAAGAGCAAATTATCTCTTAAAGAAATAATCATAACATTGTAAAGGAAAAGAAATTTCATATCAATCAACAATGAAGTATGATAAAGAATTAGAGAAGGAATTAGAGACGGGTGATCAAATAAGAGATGAAGATGAAGAACTTTTTTTTCTTTATTTATCTTTCACAAACCATAAATAGTGGAGTATGATGATGTATTTTTTTTATGTTGCCACTGAATGAATAAATTTCCATTTTCTATTCATTTATAAGTGTGTTTTGCACTTCCATCATTTTTGTAAGAGATGCATAACTATCAAAATTGGTTTTTTTTTCCATTAAAAAAATCAACTTTGATAGTTATGCTCATCTTATAAAAAAAACCGTATCATTTTGTTAGCACTTTATTTTTAAAAATTAAATAAATTGCGTACAACTTAAAGGATAAAATGGGAATGAAATAGGTCTGTCCAAAATCATTTATCTTCTTTATCCATAATAAATATTATAAAAAGAAATTTTTTTTATGAGAATAAAAAGAAATCATAAATAAAAGTTAGGGAGATAAATACAAATAAATTAATCTCACATAAAGTGAAACAAACAAAATTTTGAGAAATTAAAAGTTTCATGTTCTTGTTAGACAAAAAAACATATAAATTATTCTTCAAAAACTAAGTAAAATAGACAACGTATAAAGAGAAAAATATATAATAAACAAAATTTAAGAAATGTGAATAAATTAGAATATATGTACAATTCCATAGAAGTATCTTCTATACACTCATTTCAATAGTTGCATGAAAAATATATATTTGTGTAAAAAAGATCATTTGAAATCCCTTCAAGTTTTGCTGCATATATGTAGCATTCTGCCTCTTTTGAAATTAATAGTTTCTTCAATTTTCTTTAAAAACATAACATAAATATTAAAAAAAATAAAAATAAAAATGAAAGAGATGAGTTTTTTTCTTTAGTTTTAAACGAAGAATTTAAGAGAGAAAAGAAGAGAGATAATCAATCAACATTGCAAAACCAAATACATAAGGCATTTTTCAGTATTACGTATCTACTTCGGTGAAGTGTTCGCAGATATTAATAAATTTATTAGAATTGTGATATAATAAATAGAATTTATATAATAATTAACAACTTTAATAATAATTTTACATAGAGTTGGTTCAAAAATACAAAAAAAAACTACAAAGTAATATAATTAAAATGAATAACTTTTAATAACTAATCAAACCAATAGAAATAATTATAAGTGAATGATTTTTATCTGTTACATTTTGAAAGATTATGCCTCTGTGTTCTTCCCATTGTCTTGCACATTCTTCTATCTTGCTTGATTTATCCATTAAAAACTAAAAAAAAAATTTAAGAATCATTATTAAATATATAAAAATAGTGATGTAGAAAGTATGTGTAAGAAAATTAAAGTTATTAGGTATTCTCAAATATTTAAGAATCTTTAAATTTTGAAGAAGAAAAATTAAAAAAAATGAAAATATTGAAGATAAAAATGCAGGTAGTATGTGATAAAGAAAGGAAATGGTAGAATACTTAAAACAAAAGGAATGATACGTGAATAAAAAAACGGCATTATGTTGTTGATACTCAAGGAAACTACACCAAAAATATGAATTTATCATTAAGACTTAATTACACATTAAAAATAATAAGAACACAAAGAAATTTGACTTCTTTCTTTCTTATGCATTACCGATGATACTAAATCATTTTCAATAATATTCATCTATTAATCAAACAATAGAATGAAATGAATAAAATTAAAAATAGGTAAAGGAATCGATCAAAATAGTTAAACTTTAAAAGTTAGTGAAAATATTAAAATTAAAAAAAGATAGTATAAAAATTGGAAAAATAACCTCTTCTCCATAAAAAAAAACTCTATGTTTATGTTAACAACAACATTTTTCTACTTCACTGTCTTCAAACTAATTAAAAACAAAAACTTAATAAGAGTTGCCAAAAGAACATAACAGAAAAATTAAAATTAATTTAGAGAAATACTACAGAAAAGATAGCAGTTATCATTATTATCTTTCTCTTTCATTTTCATCTTTGTTTTCTTTCTTCCATATCTTTAATTTGCTTCTCCAACATTTTTTTCTCTCTCAATATATCTAATGGGAAGAATATAAAATGGAGAGAGAAGATGGATTGGTATAAAAACCGCATAGAAGTTATGAAAGATGAAGAATAATAACTAACTAATAAAAGAATGTAATAAAATCAATTTATTAGAGACAAAATTGGAAATAAAAAAGCTACACCAAAAATGTTTATTGTCTTTATATATTGTTATAGATTATTATTATTATTATTTATCTTGATTATAGAAAACTGACAATTTATTCCGTAATTTATAACTAGAGTGTCTATTGTCGTTATTATTGTTTTACCCTTTATTATAGAAAACTAATAACTTATCAAGTGTTTTATAATAAATGTGGATATTATTATATAAATTTTGTATGGAGGTCTAAAACTTCATATATATATATATATATATATATATATATATATATATATATATATATATATATATATATATATATATATATATATATATATATATATATATATATATATATATATATATATATATATATATATATATATATATATATATATATATATATATATATATATATATATATATATATATATATATATATATATATATATATATATATATATATATATATATATATATATATATATATATATATATATATATATATATATATATATATATATATATATATATATATATATATATATATATATATATATATATATATATATATATATATATATATATATATATATATATATATATATATATATATATATATATATATATATATATATATATATATATATATATATATATATATATATATATATATATATATATATATATATATATATATATATATATATATATATATATATATATATATATATATATATATATATATATATTGTTCCAGGCTGAACAAATGGTTAGGCATGACCCAATCCACTTCTGTACTTAGAACGGTCCAATAACCTAAGTCTTGCCAGTTGAGGGCAAAGGAAAGCATTTCTCTTCTGCCCCTTAACCGAGGAGATTTGAGCAACTGACCCCCAGGATTAGTTTCCCTTCATTACATCTTTGTTCATCACGCACGATTCATCCATCCAGAAACGGTCACGACGCCCTTGCCTGGAACCACGCCTCTGCTCGAAGCAACGGCTAGTTCCGAGCATGTATGTCCGT